CCCGGCTGGGGACTTCTTGCTGCCGCGCCCACCAACTTGATGAAGATGGCTGCCACCATAGCCAGGTAAGTACCCTTGGCGCTCCTTCCCCTTCCTCCTTCCTCCTCCTTCCTCCGCAGCAGTGCTGCTCCAGCTTAACGCTGCTCCAGGCAGCGCTCCACCAGTGTGTCGCCAAACTTGCACACCGAACGAGAGGCCGGGTATTCTGCCCGACCTGAAGATATAGCGGCCTGCTTTGCCTCTTGGGCGGTGACTTCCAGGCCGCTGGCTTTCCCAAGCAACAGGTACCTCCTCCTTTTTGGAGGGAAACATCATTGCAGACTCTGATATTGCCCCTACAGGCCCTAGACTCAGACTGGTACCCGCTAGACCTAGCCTACACTACCGGCCTATAAAAATGCCACTTTTGTCTTCTTCTACTCGGCCTCCGGTACCTGCATATTTACCCCCCAGCCGGGTGCGGTACCAGCCTACCCGCTACTTTAGTGCTTTTTCCCTGCTGCAACCCTTTGAAGCCACGACCACAGTTAAGTACCGGCTCTGAGGGCCCAACGAACGAACAAGTGCCCTGGGGGGCCACACACACTCATACCAACCAGCACTCAGACAGACACAGTCACACACACACAAGCCAACCAGCACTCAGACAGACATGCAGTCCAACAAGCACACACACACACACACAAACCTAGCAGGCGGGGAACTCAGTAGGGCATTCAGTCTATGAGCAAAACTCAGAAATCAGTTGTATTTCAGTCCGTGTTTGGATGGGTTATCACAAAGCATAAAATTTGAAATAGTAACGCCGATAAAAATAAGCATATCTTAGAAAAATTTTAGTCATCAGAGAACAACAAACGAGGGAGACAAGGAACGGCTACTACCGCTTCGATGTCGCCGACGACAAAACCAAGGGGGATAGCCTCGTTGGGTCTTCAACCCCTTGGTCTCTTCGCACTACTTTGATATCCCCGTGATGTCGCCGCTCGGTCTCGACCCGTGAATCTTCCTTATGAAAATTTGACGTTGTATCCAAAGAGGGCTAGGCCCAAGTCTGGGTCTAGTCCTAACGGATGTCTTTATATGCGGGTACTGCGCGGCGCATAGATCTTCTAAAGCATTTCAAAACCACATTGTCGTCGGCGTCGTCTTTCACACGTACACACAAGTCGTAGGCAAGCGCACCAATCGAGAGACATAATCTTTTTAATCCTAGTTTAATCAGAGATAAAAATTTGGGCTGGCGATCACGCTGGCTCTTCAATCATCAACAAATAAAAGAATCACGCCCGCCTGAAATCCGCTCGCCCACACACTCTCTACTTTAATAAACCATTCAATCATCGTAGACCACAGACACAGCCGCGCCTCGCGCGACATCTTTAAACTTTAATCCAAACCTATTTTCTGTCGCTTGCAAAAACCAAGGCGGATACCCTTGTAAGGGTATTTGCACCGACAACTTACCGGACCATATCAAGCGACGTTCCCGTCGCTTCGCAGGATAAAAAAAGGTTATAAATCCATCTAAACTCCAGATGCTGACGAGCAAGGAACCAATCCAATCAGCCGACAGACTCAGGTTCGAGGCCTGCAACAATCCAAGCCCTTTCAACTATATGATGCCAGGGTTCTAACCTGGGTCTCCATTGTCCTGACATTAGGACGCAGGTGTACTGGACATACGTACTACAACATAAGTTCTAGCAGCCCTCTCAACTGTCCTCTCCCCTTCGTCCTAGATAAACGCCGACTTCTCGTTATGTATCTCTAGTCTTTACCCTGCAAGGAGGGCCATAATCAGGGATGTGGGCCCTAATCTGGACCTGTGAAGGCATTCTCGCCTCCCTCCCAACAATTTTCGCAATCACACATATAG